GTCGTGATAAGTGTGTGACGGAAAAAGTAAATGTTTGCAGGTTGATTACTCTCAAAACGAAAGGTGAGCGCCGCCGCGCAGCCAACACTGCAAAATCATAAGACTCCTCATTACAATAGATTCGAAAGCATATATTCTACAGACACCAAAAATAATCAACAATTAAACCCTGGGTCGCTTTCGCGACGAGGAACTGCCCTCTTGAGGATCCCTTGCCTCTTCTTCTTCCTCGTCCGATAGCTCAAAGACATTGTCGTCCAAGGCTTGCGCTTGCGATGGTAGGATATTCTGCGAGTCCTGACTCTGGGGCTTCATTTCGGGAGGTGTCAGTTGGCTTTCGAGTTGTGATTCACCGAGCTCTTCTCTTTCCCTGGCATGCACCACTGCCAAAATCGTTTTACGCTCATCCCACGGAATCCCGCGACGGGCGAAAAAGTCCGACGTTGCGTGCGTGATTGTGGTCCTAGACCTTTGCGCTGCTCGTAGGTTGTCCCGCAGGGTCCTCACTTCAGCTCGAATGGCGGACCGGTCAGGCCCAGGACCTCGTTGAGGAATGACCCATTCAACTTGAGTGAGCGGGATGGGTGTACGATCCCGTATTTCGGAGGGGATGGCGACCCTGTCATCTTGACTTTGTAGTTGCCACCAAAAGACATTGGAAGCGACAATACCGACGGCTGCCAAATTTTGCCGCAGCTCGCTTTGCATAAAAAGTAAGTTGCGAAAGATAGACTTTTTCAGGACCGCTGGCATTTCGCCAAACGATTGCAAATGCTCCAGTTGGTCTTTGGATCGGATTTTCGTTCTCGTTGTTGGGCAAGTGTGTTGGACGGTACCAGAGCGGCAAAGCCGCGCAATGTTGCATGGCGGGGACCTCGCGCACACCATCCACCGGAGGACATCCTGCCGGTTCTCCAAATGGAGGGACTTGACTGCATTTGTTCGCGCCCTCTGGTCCATCTCTTCAATGTTGCGCAGCTGTCCCATTGACAAGCTTGAGGCCTTGTCAACCCCCAAAAGATAGTCCAGGCCCACAAATATGCCATACTCTCGGGCTTGAAGCTTGATCTTATCCTCTTCTTCATCGGATTCCTCCTCCCCAGACTCAAAAGCACGACATTTTTCGTCATCCTCATCATCAAGTTGCGGCTCGCTCGCGTCTAGTTGCTCATAGACCGACTCTAGGATGGGGATACAGGCCTTTCGGAGCAACACTGTTCTCCAAGCAGCCTTCAGGAACTCTGGCAGTTCCGACTGCGACATCCACCAGTCAGGAATCAGGACATCGATTCGAACCCACTTTACCGGGACCATCGTGCTGCGCAGTTCGTTGCTGTAGTCATGGCCGTACCGCAAAAAATCGTGCAAAAAGGCGACCCATTCACGGCTCAGCAGCGTGACTCGTTTGCTGGCGTGGTAGTGGGGGATAGAAGGATAGTTGTTGTCCTTGCCGCAAACAAATGTGGCGTTGCAAGTGGGGCAGACTGCGATTTGGTAGGCGGTTGCTTTGCGCAGTTTCAATAGGTAGTCTAGTTTCCCCACAGTCTCGACAATCTTTTCCAAATCAGTCTTTACGAGTGGAGCCGCCCGTTGTCGGCCAGCCGCTCGTCTCTCCGAAGTCCGGCCAGGAACGCTCTGTCCGAATCGATGCTGGGTGAAGGGATTGACGCCGTCTGGGACCCTGAGGAGGAACTGTTCGGTAACATCAAAGTCAACGCTTCTTGTGGCGGCGTTCCATGCGTTCTCTGGCACTGGGATGACGGTCAACACTGCACTGCGACTGACAAAGTATCCTTCCTCTTGCAGTCTACGGGCCATTCTTATCAGATTTCCAACTTGTTCCACGCGTGTTTGGTCTGCTTGCCCGTGGGCCGTGGTTGGCGTGCCCTGCATTCTCAAAGGTGAATATGCAAAGGCTACCTGCCAGTTGCCTGTCCGTTCGACGCGGCCAAGTTGCCGGCCAGTGAGGACTGCTTGGCTCTGTTGTTGGATCATTTGTCTGAGTTCAGTCAGGCGGGTACGAATGCCGGTCGAATCCATATGCTGAAGAACGGTAGCTCTCACTTGCGTCAATAGCTGGTACGTTTTGACTTGGTTGGTCGTCAGAATGAGATGTCGAATTACTGCAGTGGTGATGGCATTTACTGCGATACTGAGCTCATTCAGCTCAAATCGGAACCCGGCGAAAGATAAGTCGTGGGCATATACCCCCGGGTCAAACGATGCCACCACCAAACAGGTATCGGTGTCCCTGTCCGGACCGTAACGCACTATAATTGGCTCGCCAACATAGTCTACGAAGCCCCGCAAAGCCCATGGGGAATCAACCTTGCGTCCCAATCGGGCGTTCATCTGATCATCGGTGGATTCCATAAAGCCATGGACAAAGACTCCCAGGGAGTCATTGCCTACGGCGTTGATGTGCCAGGGCCGCATCACCTGCAACACCGTTTGAAGCCACGAGAGCACAACGGACGGGTCTTCGCCGGCGGCCAACGTTTCCTTTACATCACGAAAGGGGCCAAGTGCGCAGTCAAGCAACAGAGGATCGCGACTTTGGAGACGGGTCTGGACTAAATCAACAAAATGATGGATTCGGCTGACAAAGTTGCGTGGACCGACTCCGCCGACGTTGGTATCATAAAATGATACCAAAAAATCATACGCTTCCTTGGTCGGATCTTTACCAAGGTGCATGGTCACAAGCTCGTCATTGCCGCCCACGGTCACCATGGTATCCGTCAACTGCCGGCACAAAAGACTAATGATGGCGTCTGCGCGGTTTGATGATAGCCTTTTTTGGAGGGATGGTGGGAATGTGCTTTGATATAATGTCCTGAGGGTGTATTTCTGGGGGAGGAGGTGTTGCCTGTTCCTGGTGTCCACAGATTCGCAACCACCGTTGCCGCATTATCCGAAGCGGCTGTCGTAGACGGGCTGGGGGCAAAAGTATGGTCCAGCCCACCAAACGCCACGTTCAAAGCTGGAACGTATAGTACCATTCTCCAGAGCCTCTCCATCTCCAAAAATGCCCGGTGCTTGCGCAGCGACCAGACTAGCTCACCCGAGCGTCCCTCCTGGGTTGTCACAGCTGGCAAGTCATATTGCGCGAGCTGGAAAGCATGGACTGCTCTCAAGTTGTCACCGGCGGCCATCTGGAAAGCTTTCATACGCGTCATCCCGGTCAGAGTGTCGGCGGTCGGTTCACTCAAATTGTCAAAGTGTTCGCCGATCCTGATACTGGGATCGCATCGGACCGTCATTCCAACGTAATGAACATAGACTACAGGAGGGCTTTGGGCTGGGAGGTGCTTCTTGACCAACACTGCCATAGCGTCTGCGTACAAGTGGTCACCGCCACGGATCATCTTGAACGCGTCCAGAGTGCGTTCAAATCCCGGTCGATTGTCACCAGCATCAACGCCTGGCGAGTTGTCGATTTCGTGGGCAATCCAGTACAGGGTAAAGCGGAGACCCGAGATGCCTTTAGCGGTGGCAGTCGTTTCCGCGAGAGAGGCCGGTGCGATAGTGGGAAAAGGGGCTGTCGCGTCACCGCTCAATGCTTGCTTGAAAAGAGGGGGCAGATTGAATGGGTCGGCAACAATCTGCTTGGCGAGCTCAACCATGTCCTTGGCAGCACGAGGATCCTTTGCTAAAAGTTGAAAGGCTTCATCGGTCAATGGCGCCAGACTGAACGATTCCGTAGCGCGGCGGTTCAGAACATTGCCCAACTGCTTCAAGGCGTCAGTCACGGTGGTGGAATCGTCGCAGTCTCCTAGCATCTTGGTGACTAGGTTGCGGTCCTTTTCCCAATCTGCCATAATGATGTCGATGGCGGCAGAATGAAAATCTGGTTTCGCAACATTGGCAGCAGGAAAGTTGGCTGGTGATAACATCCTGCTCCAGGGATAAACAAAACATTGTTAGATCTACGCATTCAGCGGAGAAACGAAAAACGTTTCAACAAACCTGGTAAGTTTTTGAAAAATCAATAGCAGAAAGTTGTATCTCCCAAACTAAAGATTCTGTCGGGGGGGATCCAAACTACTCGCTATATATGGAAACTGTTTTACAATCAGGGTTCTCACCTCCACATATTACGTAGATCAGATCGCTTCACAGTTATGCTAGCATAGCAAAGGGAATGTACAAATTACATTCAATTCATTGAGAAGTAAACAAACAAAATTTTGCTTCGGAAAGAACCAGATCACTATTTAAAGGTAGACAAAGAGCCTTCTGTGGGAGAAATTTTGGAAAATCAAAGAGACGCCTCAGAGTGGCTGGCAGGCTGATATACTCGAGTATGTCATCTTCGGAAAAAAGTCTCACAGAACTGATAGAAGCTACCCCCACTACCCCTGATGCTCAACCCGACCAGTCACCAGTACCCCATCCCTGACAACAGTCTTGAACTGCTCCGAACAGTCTGCACCATCACATTCATTTCAGAGCTCTTGGCGCTCAGCATCTCTGTTTCGAGGGATGAATGTGCCAAGTGCAGCCTGTCTTGTCGATGGCGACTGTAAGCGCTTTATCCGTGATTTGAATCTGGATCGATGCACAGTTGATGGTGCCAATTGACCGTTGACGTTACCAAGGCCGTATTTTTGCATGGGCATATTTACAGTAGTCTTAGAGGCATAGATAGCCTGTACAGTATATAGTGGGAAGAGAAGTTTCTCCCCTTTACCAACCCATTTGCTTCACATAGTCATAGCCAGACTACAGTTCACAAAACATTGAATACACTACCGAGAAACTCGTACATTCATGAGAGGTGCTTTACGCAGCCAGACCTACCACCATCCGTGACTCCATTCCCCATTTCCGCGCTCGCCATCTCGGCAGCCCATTTCGAAATATTTTCGCTTGTTGCAACCGCGTTCCAGTTGACAAAAACGTATCCCCAGAGCTCAAAAGTCACCCAAACACCTCGGGATCTACAGCAATCGTCTTGGAGGAGGCCATAGAGGTCGAATAAAAAAGAAAAAAAAGAACGATCCCGGCAGGGGTCGAACCTGCAGCCTCCCCATTAGAAGTGGGGTGCGCTATCCGATTGCGCCACGAGACCTTCTTCCCAACCTGAGCTGGCCAGAGTTTATATTCCCCGCAGCTGTCAAATCTCATTACTCATTGGGGTCAAAAGTTCTACCGGGTTTGGTCAGGCTCACCGTCAAATCCTTTACATTACATATCGCCATGGACGACCAGGGTGCTGACAACCCCTAGTAGCCGCAAAATGATGTGAACAGGGCTTAGGTTTATGCGCGGGCCCGGGAATAACCGGATGCGGTCCTCCGGGATCTTCCGACGTGTTTCGAGCCGACCAGCTCACGACCAGATCTCTGCGCGTAAAAGTGAAGCAGAAAGTGAAGCAATCGTCTGGGATCACCATGCCGCGGACGCTGAAGGAACGAATTATGATCGTAGGACTCAACAAAGCTGACAACGGCAGAAAGTGCTCGAAACATCCAGAAGGATGCGGCCAGTCGGCTAAAGTTGGGGATTATCCTGGGGCTCGTTGCGATGCGACAAACCAACAGTGCTGAGGGTTTACGAGGACAGGTATGGGTACTTTGAGTTTGCAGCAGAATCAAAAAGCGATATGTATGTCTTGAGGAAGATATTGAATTACAAGCAAACAACTATCATGTTGTTTCTTGACACCTCTGCTTATATATAACTTTTGATCTCTCCCTTGCGCAAGTGGCATATATTCGCCCCCGAATGACCTAACAGGCCGCTAAATATCGTTGTAGTTCATTCGATATTTGTTTGAGTAAAACTATTCAACTCTCCACTGCAAGCCTGGGGTCTGATAAGCTGTCAACTATCATTTTATTTATTTCCTTCTCTGCTTGTGACTTTTTTACAAGTTATAAGATATCGTTGCCTGTCTTTGCATCTTTGTCTTCTATAAGTTTTAATCAGACCATTGCACGCGGGTGTGCGTTGGCTATCCCTTCAATCTGGCAGGCGGCTAGGTGTTGTTTGGAATTTTCCATCTATGTGCACGAAGTGGACTGTACTTGGTTATCGCAATACTCGGGGAAATGTGACAAAGTATACGCTCAGTTTATTCAGTGTCATTATTCATGAGGCGGGGGAGACCCCCGCACCCCCCCTCAGAAGTTCAGAAGCTTGTAAAATTCACTTGGTCCAGCCTTGTTCAAATTCATTGCTCATGAGGCGGGGGAGACCCCCGCACCCCCCCTTGCCTGCCGCCGGCCCTCGCAGGGGAGCAAACACTGAGGAAGATATGATATGTGATGAATCACGCAAGGAATGACCAATGTTCATTCCGTGTCACAGGTTGACGAGGAAGTCAAGGATGCCGATGCAGTATTCTTCCATGTTAATCCCCTTCTCCACCAGGGCGGGAGGGAGCTGTTTGTGAAGAAAACCACCGACTTATGGCCGTTTTGGGGGTTTGGCTCAATCCAACTCTATGTCTTGTGAGAGGAGGCCGGTCGTTCTTCACCGTAGGATGTGCGCGGAGGTGTCCAGTCTTTATCTTTGTTGCCGTGGGAAAATCCGGAGCTTGTCTCTTTCTCAGTCTTTTGTCCTGGTTTTTGTCTTTGTATTTTGTCTTTTGCCTTGGTCCTTGTTCTTGTTCTTGTTTTTGTCTTTGTCCTTTTTCCTTTTCATTTGTCTTGTCCTTGTCGGATGACTTCAATGAGGCCCGCCAAGGCCTACTGTGCTCCTAAGGCGGGAAATGCCGGGTCCATCGGAAAGTAACGGTATGAGTAACGTTTTGAGTCATCACTAAAAGGGCCTTTTAAGGCGTAGCCACGGAAATGCACTGGCACGGTGACTGTACGTGATTTAGTTAAGGATTTTGTAGGGGTGGGAAATTACCGGTAACTTAAAAAAATTACGTGTAATTTACAACCTATTGTAACTTACGTAATTTACCGGTCTGTTACTTACAGTTATGAGTCAATGTTTATTGGTCAGCAGGTTTTGGTAAGACTGCAAGTGCGAGGGGTTCTGGGAACTTCTGGATGATGCTGCGTCTCCAGTTTTTGCTTGAGAGACATGAATATGTGGTACTGTAGTGGATTTGTTCAAATTGGGTTCAATGGTATATAATATCATAGTAGGTACTAAAGGCATCAATACAGCATAACCAGGATAAGCTAACTTTACTCGCTTTCTTCATCATCAGAAGACTCATCCGGTACTGTACGGGCATCCTGAACTTGCTGTCGCCACTGTACATGATATCTTGTATCTTGCAAGGCTCGATGGTTACAATAGATAAAAGCTAGCTTCATTGTTCTCTCGGGTGTCAGCGTAGCTCGATCATCCAAATGAATGTGGTTATGGGTGAAGAAAGCTCTTTCACTTGCCTCGCTATGTGCAGTAACCTTGAACACACGAAACGCTAATCCTGCAAGAATGGGTGCCTCGGTCTGCAAAAGGCCCCAAAACACCTCGGGCTGATTGGAATGCAGCCAAATAGGACTTCTTCCTGAGAATGGGCCCTGTCGAGTGCGGAAAAGCCCAAATTGTCTCAAGGCATCCATCTGCGCAACCGGCCCAACATGCTTCTGGACAGCATTCACAAATCTGGTGTGAAATTCTCCCTGAAGAGGCTCGCCAACATGCTCAGGGTGCAGAAAAAAGCTGAGTGCATGTACATCACAAACAACGTATCGCCATCTAGAGGGAAACGATTTACAGTAGTTCAAGGAGATTAATACCCCTGTGTTTTCGGCTGTACCTGGCGTCAACTTTATCCAAATCGGGGTGAATCATGTGTATCTGGTTTGTAAAACACTCAAGGAGTGTCTCATAGCACCCCACTCCTTGATAATTTTACCAACAGAGAAAGTATCGGCTTCCGCCTTCCTCAGAGAGTGATCAATGGGTTGAAGATAATCTACAAGCACCTCAACTATCTGCCACCTTTTTTCAGATATGATGGGTCAGTGTTTTTGCAATGAAAGAACTGGTCAACATATGAAGTACGTACCATCCTACATTCACCAGACAATCAATCCCTCCCAGCGGCATCAAACTCACAATCTTGGCGGGTAGCATATACTTTGAGCGATTCCTTGACCTCCATGAGGCGCTTGAACATTTTGTACTGCGTTCCCCAGTGGGTGATCACAGACTTGACAAATTCCACACTGGTTCACCCCGTTCTCTCTGAATTGCATGGAGGATTCCAAGTTGTTTTTTCGATTTGTTGAATGAGGAGACAATACTGTGGGCCAGTTTCACCATCGGTTCAATGCCTGGATCTTCTAAAAAGTCTTTCACGAGGAGTTGAAGAACATGACAAATACAAGGCACGAAGAATGTTTGAGCGAACTGCGGATCCCTTTCGAGGATTGACCAGAAAGATTGCATTGTGTTACAGGTGTCGGAATTGATTGAATTCACTTTACGGAGATCAACTGTTAAGAATGAATGAGAAGGTTAGTAATTCACATTAAGAACGCAAGTTGTTGGTCTAACCATTGACGGCGTTAATGATACGGACTTTCACCCACTCGGCTGTGAACTCTGCCGTGTGAGCCGCGTTCAAAGTGTCAGCGAGGTCCAGGAGGAGAACTTTGTCATCAAGCACGGCACAAAGGTTCATGATCCGATTCCCCATCACAGCATCACTGGCATCAGTGGTGAAAGTAATGAGGGGGGCGTCCGCAAGGGCCAGCTTTACAATTGCTGACTCTTCTTCAAACTGCAGGTCAAGAAGCCTGTTTGACAAAGCTTTTCGGTTGGGGGGCTTGTAGTTGAACAGTTTGAATGCGTCGATTGTCCATTTGTCTTCATACTGGGTAAAAGGACGAGCTGAAGCAATGTGAGTCTTAGACAAAAACTTCTAGAATGATGGTTAACATGTTTCAACCGTACCTGTCATGTAGTTAGCCAAGGCAAACTTTCGATCAAACATGTGCTTCTCTTCACGACTGTAAACCTTGACTCGTGCGCTTGTTGGTAAGGTGGCTGCTGTTAAGGTGGAGCTCCCAAACTGTCGAGCTTGAGCAAGTGTACGGTAATTGTTGCATGTGTTTAAGTGGGTTATTTGTCTGGTAGCATTCTCTGCTCCGGTAGCCGAGCAATGTATGCATTTGAACATTCTTTTGGCCTTGTCAGCTTCTCTTGTGTATGAGAACTCCCTGTCCAACAGGGGATTTCGGGGTTTTACCATGCTGAGCAGTGTGCTTCAGCAGCCAAAGTTGTTGATGAGCTTGATGGGTTGACTCGGTTGAAAAGTACTGTGGAAGTCCATCAAGCTATGCAAATTTGAAATTCCAGATCCAAAATTTTTTCAGAAATTCAGATCCAAAGTCCGCCAGCCATGGCTGTGCGGCTTAGCTGCCAAGCCTCGATCATAACTTACGGTAAAATATAAAATTTACGTGTAAATTACTGGTTTGTTACGGTAATTTACAACCCGTAATTTACGACTTCCCACCCCTAGGATTTTGGGCCCGGTATAATTTTGGCGGACAACACTTCGGGGTAAACCCTCAGCAAGCACTCAGCACTCGGTGACGTTTAAAGCCGCCGTCACCAGTTTTGCTATCCGTTCGAAGGCGGGCAATAGTACGTACAAAATTGAAAGCGATCAGACTCTGATCCCAATATCTGACCCAATGAATCTGTTTAGAGACCGTGAGGAAGTTCCAGGCCGTCAAAGTCTTCAAAAATGACTGCTGCATCGGTCTGGTCAGCGAAGCTGATCGGTCAAAATTTCCAAACCTTGAGAAGTACAGCGGTGTCATTATTACAATGATTGGTGACAGTAGTGAGAAGAGTGTCCGACACCTTTTGGTAAGTACACTCACACTTTAAGTCAGGGCGCTCTCCCTCCCTTCATGAATAACTCACATTTGCTGTCCATTTAGCACACAAAGTTTGGGGCTGCACATGTAGACATTGCGCTAATAAATTAAACGTACTTACGGAACCAATCAACAAATTACCCTTCGTCAGAACCTTTTAAGTGTTTTGTTTTGATCGTCTACCTCTTTTGTAGGTGTTTGCCGACCGACAATCTAAGTAGTGGTATGGTACGAAGCATGTGTGGGAAAGAATGCGAAGTATCATAAA